AAGCACACAATTACCGTGAGCGTACAGCTGCAGCCGAAACTCTAATTCGTTATTCTCAAAGCATAGTCACATTCATTTCCCATGAATGCACAGCCTTGGTTGACCCCACTGCTTATAGGACCCCGGTTTAAAATATATATTTTTGTTGACAGCCTTTTCCCTTTGTAATCAAAGAAATAATTCACCACCCGACTCACCGTCCGTACAGGCAAGTTATTATTATTAGATTTTACATCTAGTTATTAGTAAATGTTATACTTGGGATTTGCACTTGTTTGTCCAGATTCACAGTGGTGGTATGATGCTCCCTTGATTTGTAAAACCACGGCGGATATCCCTGCGTCCAACAAGGGAACAAATCGTTGCGGTGATGTGTTCTGACCACTTAATCAGGACGGGAATGTGGCTTTTCGGGACGTATTCACGTCCAGTCGCGTGTCCCTGTGGCAGAGTGCTCGGCTCACATTCACATTCACCTCGGGCAAGTCAACTGTTTTTTTCCTTTCTGATTGTCACCACGGGTATGTGGAATTTCCGACAACTAGCTTCCGGAACGACCAATTGAGATGATTACATCCAACGCTTACTTCGAAGAGAGAGGACACATTTATGACGCGTTTCACGTGATGATGAACGTTCCTAAGGTGTTCTAACACAAAATAGAAACCTTTTGCAAGGCATCAAATCGGCATGAACCACACGCAGTACTTGTGGTGAACGTGTAAAGAAACATGGTCTGATAATATATGGCATTGTCTTTGAAACTGATTGGCCTACACCAGAGACAGCCTTCGTCAGTTTCACAGACAACGCATCTATAATTAACACATTCCTGCGGAGGGAGCTGGTAGGAACGTTGGGTTGCTCGGTCAATGGCCAGGGTCAACGGCGGCACCACGTGGTGTATTCCGCAAATATGCCCGACTGTGAGGGCGGGAACAAGCCGGCGTGAGTAGGTTAAACGTTGAGTTTTATAAGGGCACCACGGGGTGACCAGCCCCTCTCCACCCAGCCCCTCCCCACACTCCCCTCCCCAGCCAGCCCCTCCCTCCCCACCCAGCCCCTCCCCACCCTCCGCATCCAGCCCCACCCCTCCCATTTTTGTATGCACGACGGACGGACGGTGTAACCAGGAGGTTCCTACCAGTATCAGATAATGTTTCTTTGCATGTTCGCCACAAGTACGTGTAGTTCATGCAGACTTGACTGCTCGTAAAAGGTTTCAATTTGGTGTTTGAACATCTCAACACCTTTTTATTGCCAGAAACAGTAAAAACCTCTATTATTTTTCGTACTTTGATACTGGCAAAAGGGGTCCTATGATGTGAATGTTTCTCGAAATTTACATTTATTGGTGGAAAAAAAAACAGTTGTCCCCATTGTAAACAGTAAAAGGGTAAATTGGAAAAGCGATTCTTTTTTTCAATTGTGAATCTTGTCTTTCTGATTGCTGTATTAAAAGCCCCCAGCTGGTGTGGCAACCAGTGACTTTTACGGCTGGTGCCTAGATCAGGGCTGCCGTTTGTATGGCCGTGAAGATCTTGCAAGCATTGCAGGTTTTTCTTCTTCTTCTAACGATGACTCGCAACGTTTTATAGCATGTGACATTTTTGCCTCGGCCCCCAAAAATATTCTGTTCAGTCAGTAGGTTTTGGCATCAGTAGTATTTTGTAGCACGTTACCTTTGACTGATCTTCCCAATTCACTCATAAAATGGACAACAAGCATATTATATCCGTGTGCATTTGTTGACTTGCAAAACCATGAAAAGCACCCAGCATGGGAGGCCTATACTGGCAATATCCCTGGCGCACTGCTAATTGTTTGTGCAATTAAATGGTCATTTGCAATTACATTACATTGCAAGCCCAGCTAGATCGACGCTAAACCATGAGAACTGTAATAGGCAAGTCATAAATGAGAATGCACCTTGATTGAATAGGTAGTGGGTATATAACTGTGAGAGTCTGCATGTATTATAACATTGAGAATCTGAGTAAAACATAGCACTTTCATATGGTGCAATCTTGCAGCTCAATGTATATTTATGATCACTTTGCTTATGGGAGGCAGATGTGTTTACATAAACAGATTTGCTGAAAGGAAGATGCAACCCAAAAAAAAATATTTAACGTTTCGGTACGCAACTTGCCTAACATGTCCCGGGTTGTCCAACGTAAGTTTGAAGCTATGTTACTGAAATAAAATAATTTATGTTCATGGTCAATGATATGATCATAGCACTACAGTGATGTAACTGTGATAGTACTCAAACATTGTGTACATGTAAATCAGGGGTCACCAAACTTTTTTTCACAGCGGGCCGGATAACTGATGGAATGACGATCGCGGGCCGCATAAACATTCTGTTCAATAATTGGGGGCGGGAAAGATGCGTGTTTGTGTGTGTTGCCATGGAAACCATGGTAACGTGTTGCCATGACGTTGCCATGGAAACCATGGTAACGTCAGAGCGTAGGCGGAGCTACCACGAGCCGGGGAAGTACTTGGGATGGCGCGAAATAAGCAAACATTACAATAAACAAGAAAATCTAGATACAATAATTTACAATTTAACATAGTAAATTTAAGGCACATAGCAGTAAGGAGGTCTCCGCACGCGTGAAGATCTCCCAGTATTCTAAACATAATATTTAAATTTAAATTGTATCACAGGGTCTCGTGTTCCATACGTTTTTATCAACCAAATTCAAGTACCGTCGGCGGGCCTGATGGACTGACGTCGTAGTTTGGTGACCCCTGGTGTAAATGAACCTACATCACTGGAGCGAGCTGCGGCAATACACTTGGCCAAGGCGTTCTTATACAATTAACAATGACTCAGACCCGCATCGGACAGTCGGGGATACATAGCCTTGGAACGTACCTGTGAGACAAAAGCTACAGGGTTTTGTTTGCGAGGCGGTTTCTTCGATGAGGTGCAGCCATTTATGAAAAGGTGGTGTTTAAAATCACAGACGTGAGAAGGTCGAGAAGAGCCACCGTGGGAGATTGCTCGCGTGAGTCTACCAAAGCGCATGTCTCTGCTGAAATTAGCGTGCAGCATTGTTCATTTACTAAACTATGAACTAAGATATTTTGTATTTACCAGGTAAGGCCCACTGAGCTATGTAGCTCTTTTTCAGAAGCGACCTGGCCACAAAATGATAGCCCATTAAAGTGGCTTATCATGTGGAAATGTATAGCAGACAAATTCTCTAAAACGCGTGACGCTGATTTTAAATGTGGAGGGAAAACCGGAGGACCCGGAGAAAAATCCACGCGACCACGGGGAGAGAGAACACGCAAACCCCAAATATACAGGAGGCGTCAGGGTCGGGATCGAACCAACAACATCTTGTATACCAGGCGAGGTAGTTAACATCTTGCCAACGTGGTGCCCTTAGCCAGTGGTGGGAACTCCGCATCCCTACAGGGTGGATCAGTCTTCCCAAAACAAACAACTGCTGTTGAACTCCCACAATAATAAATTCAATGTATCGCCTCTAAAGAGATAGGCCGGGCAAACGCAAGACTGGATTTGGGTTCAGGACCTATTGTGTTTAGTGTTACACCAGTGTTACCTGACCAGTATTAATATAAATACAAGCATACGTTTTCAAGACACGGACTCGTATCGATAATAGAAGTAAAATAATGTTTTGTCTCTTGTAAATTCACTGCCGGAATGAGGACCTCCCTAGGATGAATCAGCCAAGGGGTCAACAATTTTGATATTACTCTGAACTGACTTTAGCCACGTTCAGTAATCAAACTCAGGTCATCGGGTTCACAGTGCAGTGCGCTAACCACTGGGGGCCAGAGCGCCTCGCTGGGCCATCTTCAACAAAGCAGAGCCTAATAAAGCAGCAAATCCACCGGGCACGGATTCGGAACCGTCAGGAAAAATAACACGATAAAGTCTTCAAAACTACGGCGAGTGTTTTTTTTCTCATAAAACCCCCACTACAGACAGACCTCGCATAGCGCGACTCGATAATACGCCGAGTCGTCATCGTACTCTTTGTATTGAGAGAAAATGTTCATTTAAAAAATGAAGAAAATCGCTAATGAGCGAGACCGCACAGCGCCGACACCGCCGTCATCTGAGCCCCGCCCCGCCCCCCCCGCCCCCCGAACCCTGAGATTCGATTATGATGATTCGTGGCCACGATTACATAACAAAAATATGAATAAACATTTCACTCTCCGTTTAGCCAGGCGAGAACTCACGAGACCACGATAGATTCTCAGGCTCCACCGAAAAGAAACCTCACCACAGACATTTTGACTAAGGGCATTCGGAGAGCAGCAGCTCCTCGAACCTCATCAAGCACAATAATAATGCACTGGTGAGTACAGTTTATAATACTTTGTGATCCATAACAGGGGTGTTTTTTGGGGTTAGATCGCTGTAAATATATATGTTTTTGTTAAAACCCGCCACCACCCGACACGGCCACCTAGTAAGGGTTGTCACGTAAACAGAACGTGGCCAATTCGTCACTAGTACAGCACACCGGTGTGCTGGAGAGCCAGGCCACAACATTTACGACACATTTATATATTTACGCGATCTAACCCAAATAAACCTCGATTATGGATGATATTGGTCGCGAAAGCCTACGTGATAAACATACTTTGTGATGTTAGTTTAATCGAACATTTCCATTTATAACAAAGTTTACAATCCGTATGATTATTTGTTCTTGCCACAATTAAGCCCTAATTTATTCATGTGAAAATAAATAACGCTGTCGGGAACGTGTCCACATGTATGCAATGCTATAATGGCCCCTTTTAATGCTGATTCGATCAGCGCCCACGTCCCCAGGCATGCACCTTGAGCGTTAAGCGAGGTCTGCCTGTATACACGAGGGAATTGAAGTTGAAGAGGCACCCCTTGGGGATTTGTATGCACGGATTTGTGGCAGCGAAGCATCCATGTGGTCAAGTTTAACCTGCCATGGAGTGCTGAATGAGTAAGTGAAACAGTGCACCTTTTTGTTGTCGTCGAGGACCGTGTTCATGTTCTCGATCCACTCGGCATCGACGGGGCCGTCGAACACGCACCACTTCCTCTCGCCCGTCACGCTGCTCGCATGGGCCCGGAAAGCGGTGGCCAGAACGCCTGAGACACAGCGCCAACGGAAGGAAGCAGCAGCAGCAGCAGCAGAAGAATCGCTTTAACAAGGAGCAATCTCAGCAGGCCAACTCAATGTCCCTCAGCTGTACCGATGTGTTTTCGGGTTGCACTACACGTTGTTTAGCATGATGTCCGATGTTCTGTGCCACGGTGGCGAGATGTTATATACCTTGCCTTGTATGCAGGAGGTCGTGGGTTCGATCCCAATCCCGAACCTGACGCCTGCATATTTGGAGTATGCATGTCTCGCTCCCCGCGGTCGTGTGGATGTTTTTTTATCAGGATCCTCCGTTTTTTTTCCTCCACAATTAAAAACATGCGTTTAGAGTTTTTGGCTGTGAAATATTTTTCTACATGATAAGCCACATCGTTGAGCTATCATTTGTGGCCAGCTCGCTTATGAAAAAGAGTGATATATCTCAGTGGGCCTTACCTGGTAAAATATAAAAAGTTGAGTTTAAAGTTTAAACGTGCGACAAACAGTTCCTGATGAAGCATGTGGAGCGAACCGTCGGGCATCATGCCAAACAACACACAGTATAACCTGAAAATACATTACAGAGCTGTACAGAGCCACAAGCAGCAACGTCCCTCATTACAAACGTGATGATGCCCCACGCAGATGCAATGGCACTTTAGACATCGTCTGGCAGTGGTGCAAATCGAGCTGCTGTATCCATAAACCTTGCTCAGTGGTCAGCACAATGCATGCCTACCTTTCAACCCATACGGTTCACCCGTATTTATGTGGAGGGAAATGGAGTTTTCCGGTCCATACGGTATACAGCCGTTTCAATACGGGTAAAAATATATACTTTTTTGTCGATTTGTTTGTGTTTCTCCGTTGTGATGGGACTTTGTAGGATGAACATTGAGATTTATCAGGGCACGGAGTGACCAATAAGGTCTGAATTGGTCTGTAATAAGGTAGGGCACTGATAAAGGGTTAACAGGTATGACAATGGCTGCTATGATATTCGTTTTCTGGCCCCTGTCGTAGGAATTTTGAATTTCCAGCACAAGCTCACGACTGTCACTGGGGATAATCCCTGCCCAATGCTTGTTTGAGCAGATCAACACTTTGGCATTTTTGTCTTTTTTAAATTAAATAAGTGAGATTATAAAGTTATCCCTCAGCAAGCAGTGGAGATTTCGCATTCCAATTGCATGGACCAATCTCCCCGCAAGATAACCACTGTTGAATTCCCACAGCGCAGTATAAATTTAATTGAACCCAGAGGCACGATGGGCTTGGTCAACTTCTGATCAGGATCAAGTTTGATTTGTTGAAGGAAAACAAAAATAGTTTAATCCATCAGCCCGTGCTTTACATATCAATTGTAATGAAACGTATGAGACTGTTGGCATTGGTGCACATGTGCAGGCCAAATACAAATGAACAACAATTTTAAATAACAAAGACTTTATGAGGTACAACACGAAGTGTAAATATTAAAAAAAAAAATCTCACATTCAGCTCCTGTTTCCAGCAACCGTTCTTGCTCAGAGAAGAGCATATGTCTTTATCCAAAACATTAGTTCTATATTCTTGGTTCTTTCGGTAAAGTCACGTAGAAGGGAAACAATAAAATAATAAAAATATTAAAAAATACAATTCTCACGACGTTTCGACTGCAACACAAGCAATCATCATCAGGTGTGAAAACCACAACAAACATTTTCTTGTGAGAATTTTATTTTTTCTATTTTTATTATTTTATTGTTTCCCTTTTACGTGACTTTACCGAAAGAACCAAGAATATGAATCCCTGCAGTCACGAAAGCTTTAAATCAAAATTAGTTCTATAATTTTCGATATAAAGAGTAAAACATTTGATTTTCGAGGCGATTTTAATGATATAATAACAGAACGGATTTTACATTTTCTATTCAATCCATACAACTGAGTATTGTGAATATATTAATTGGCAGGAAATCGGCCACATTTGGTCTCACAAATTATACTGGCAGGACTGCATAGCGATTGGTCAAATTAAAGGATTTTATTTTTGCGGTATTGAAGTCAAACCTAAGCCCTGTTGTGTTACCAGGCTATCGATTCATTGTCATTGACACATAACCGACCAATACAGAGAGACACTTAATTGCTCAGAATTAATGCTGATGTGTGTATGATTGCTAAGCCAAGTGAAAATAAAGGTTCAATATCATGGGGAGGAAAAAAACCTCCCAAATCAATGTTGGTTTGTTTTGTTTATTTTTGTGCTTCTCAGTTCAATACCGCCAGCCTCTCACGAGATGTAATATGGCCACGTGCCAATACAGCTAACACAACTTGGTTTATGGTAATAAAAAAATACTACTAAAAAAGATGAAAACCCTTACAAGGTATGTAAAAGCAAGATAAAATGTACACATACAGTGAGGGAAAAAGTATTTGATCCCCTGCTGATTTTGTACGTTTGCCCACTGACAAAAAAATGATCAGTCTATAATTTTAATGGTACGTTTATTTGAACAGTGAGAGACAGAATAACAACAACAAAATCCAGAAAAACACATGTTAAAAATGTTATAAATTGATTGGCATTTTAATGAGGGAAAAAAGTATTTGACCCCCTCTCAATCAGAAAGATTTCTGGCTCCCAGGTGTATTTTATACAGGTAACGAGCAGAGATTAGGAGCACACTCTTAAAGGGAGTGCTCCTAATCTCAGCTTGTTACCTGTATAAAAGACACCTGTCCACAGAAGCAATCAATCAATCAGATTCCAAACTCTCCACAATGGCCAAGACCAAAGAGCTCTCCAAGGATGTCAGGTACAAGATTGCAGACCTACACAAGGCTGGAATGGGCTACAAGACCATTGCCAAGCAGCTTGGTGAGAAAGTGATAACAGTTGGTGCGATTATTCGCAAATGGAAGAAACACAAAAGAACTGTCAATCTCCCTCGGCCTGGGGCTCCATGCAAGATCTCACCTCGTGGAGTTGCAATGATCATGAGAACGGTGAGGAATCAACCCAGAACTACACGGGAGGATCTTGTCAATGATCTCAAGGCAGCTGGGACCATAGTTACCAAGAAAACAATTGGTAACACACTACGCCGTGAAGGACTGAAATCCTGCAGCGCTCGCAAGGTCCCCCTGCTCAAGAAAGCACATATACATGCCCGTCTGAAGTTTGCCAATGAACATCTGAATGATTCAGAGGACAATTGGGTGAAAGTGTTGTGGTCAGATGAGACCAAAATGGAGCTCTTTGGCATCAACTCAACTCGCCTTGTTTGGAGGAGGAGGAATGCTGCCCATGACCCCAAGAACACCATCCCCACCGTCAAACATTGAGGTGGAAACATTATACTTTGGGGGTGTTTTTCTGCTAAGGGGACAGGACAACTTCACCGCATCAAAGGGACAATGGACGGGGCCATGTACCGTCAAATCTTGGGTGAGAACCTCCTTCCCTCAGCCAGGGCATTGAAAATGGGTCGTGGATGGGTATTCCAGCATGACAATGACCCAAAACACACGGCCAAGGCAACAAAGGAGTGGCTCAAGAAGAAGCACATTAAGGTCCTGGAGTGGCCTAGCCAGTCTCCAGACCTTAATCCCATAAAACACCTGTGGAGGGAGCTGAAGGTTCGAGTTGCCAAACGTCAGCCTCGAAACTTTAATGACTTGGAGAAGATCTGCAAAGAGGAGTGGGACAAAATCCCTCCTGAGATGTGTGAAACCTGGTGGTCAACTACAAGAAACGTCTGACCTCTGTGATTGCCAACAAGGGTTTTGCCACCAAGTACTAAGTCATGTTTTGCAGAGGGGTCAAATACTTATTTCCCTCATTAAAATGCCAATCAATTTATAACATTTTTGACATGCGTTTTTCCGTATTTTTTTGTTGTTATTCTGTCTCTCACTGTTCAAATAAACCTACCATTAAAATTATAGACTGATCATTTCTTTGTCAGTGTGCAAACGCACAAAATCAGCAGGGGATCAAATACCTTTTCCCCTCACTGTACACATGTTGAAGCACCTGCCAGTGTAACGATCGACAATTCAGTGCTGCTCTCTACAATGTTTTCACGTGTTTTTAATTGTCTGACATATATGATGATATGCGCTTTCACATACATTGTTCATCACGACAGCCTACCAGTCCTGTAAAAATAAAATATCGATAACCAGTGTTGGAAACGGGCCGACATACAACGGTACGTCACCCCAGCACTTCTCACGACCACCGGACTACACACCGGCGCCGTCCAGAACCGGCCTCCTATTCCTCTTCCATGATGCCTCCGCAGAGGCCGTTAGCACGGGCTGCAGGATGAATGGCTTTCATATCGGCCCTTCTACATTTCCACCGCTGTATATGCCACCTGGCAGGGATGCACTGCTTGCTGGAGAAGTCAACAGAGAGTGGGAAGTCCTGTGGAGACTCTCTGGTCCTTACCGTGGAAATGTGAATTTTTAACCGCTGGCTCAGGACCAACAATGCTCCGAGCTCTGTCCAGCGCTCAAAAGAGCATGGGAACGCTTTGACTTTTAAAACATATATATATATACACAGGGTATGCATATGCATGTAACCTTATAGTTGCCGAGTATATAGACAGCATATACATTTCTGTTTGGATAAAGACTGTATAAATATGCACGAGCGTACACAGACGGTGTCTGAAAATCCATATGGATAGACTGCTATGTAAAAGTAACCTTACTGTGTGAAATTAAATTAACCCGCTATCGGGCGTGGAAACTGGCCCGTCATCTTGTAAGACAACTCAATGCCGCGCCTTGCTAATGGAATCTCGTTATTGGAACGATACCTCACCGTCCGTCCACTCGTGAGAGATGGGGTCGAAGCTGCCGTACAGCTGAGCCATGCTGAGGGCCTTGGGGTTAATGATGATGAAGTCCACGCGCCGCTCGCCCATGAGGCCTCGCCGCTCCAGTTCCCCAAGAGCTCCGGCCAAGGCCTTCAGGGCACTCGTCTTGCCTCCAAGAGGGCCTCCCACCAGCATGAAGCCATGGCGCACCAGCATCATCTCATAAACCTGTGTGCACAAGCGGCCGTACGCACACACGCGCATGCACATGAGTAACAACAACAGCAAGAGCCGCCATTCGCCACTAAGCGGCGGTGACGTCACCATGACGCCTGTGCCAGGCCAGGTGCACTTTGAGGCCACGTGAAGTGTCGAAGTTCTCGCTGACAGGAGGTCATGGGACAGACCCAGCAGGTGGTGCCATGGGTTGGCAGTGAGTTGACCGGCAGATGCACCAGCTGTGCCCCTACTGTGCCAACTTTCTGCATTTTAGCCACCCGGCGCTCTGCTCGTTGTTATGAGCATCGCTCCTCCGCCCTCCCTTGCTTTTGGAGGGTGACTGCCTCCAACTGCCCAGTAGCGTCCTTCATGAGCCTCCTCCATAGAGGCCGATCTTGACACCGCTGATACTAGTCTTCAGCCAGTCCACTCAGCTATACATGCTCTTGTACCGCATCAGTCCATCTCTTTTCCAGCCCATGTATGCCGATGACTCTCTTTTCTAGAACAAATATACATTATTTATCACAATCTATATGATGTCAATGTCTACATAATGTGGTGTTTCTCTGGGCACTCCAGTTTCCACGGGTACTTCAATTGGCCAAACATCCCAGACATACGACCCTCTTGAAAATGAGTTAAGATTCTCAGCACGGCTTTCCTGAATTGCAATTTTAGGAATGAATTTCAGGCAGCGCTAGCACATGGCTAAATACCAGCTTGGCATAAAAAAAAAATACCTAGCCTCTGGTAGTGTGCAAGGTCACGAATTAACGACGCGTTGAAGCTGCGCGCTAACACAAACCGCATCACCACACTCTTCCTTAATGCAAACACCACCCACTGCTGTGCTTGTAGCGGTACAGACTGTTGGGATAAGTAGCGCCTGTGAAGAAGGCTGGCATCGCACGCAAGTGGGCTCAGTACAAATCGCCCCACACTTGGCAGTTGTTTGTCTTCTCGGTCCTGATTTTAATAACAACCACTCTGGAGTTCTGTCGTTTTGGCTGAGCGAGTATAAAGGAAACCCAGGCTAGGTGAAGGTAACAGTTTTTTGATACCACTGTATACCGTGGTGCGTTTATGCTCATATTAAATTGCTCATTTTTAAACGCAGTATTCGGTGATAACTGCGTTGACAGTGGTACTCAAGCAAAAATAACAAAGAAAAAAACTCAACACATTCGTCAATAACAATGCCTTATAATAAACATATATAAGACAACTTTTCAGGAAAATGGCCCTTCTCCATAATAGAGGTTGTTTTGGGTTAGATCGTGTAAATATATAAATGTCTTTAAAACCCGCCACCACCCGACACAGACAACTAGTAAGGGTTGTCACGTAAACAGAACGTGCCTATTCGTCACTAGTACAGCACACCGGTGTGATGGAGAGCCAAGCCACAACATTTACAATCTGAGTACGACGTTTCGCCAGTAATTACAACTAGCTTCATCAGGCGACAGCCTAGTTTGTGGAGAAGTCCACCTGTTTCGTTCCTTATATAGAGGCGTAGATGTGGTGACCACACTTCTGCGCTCTAATGTAAAGTGGGGTGGGGGGGGGATCTACATCATTAGACCTCCTTTGCCAGTACCAAAATATAATAATAGGGTTGTTCCCCTTTTTTCTGGCAACAAAACTGAAACCTTTTCACAAGGAATCATGTGTGAGACTAGGCTCAAGAGAAAGCCGTCTCAGGTGTGGACCAATCAGTTTCAAGGACAATGAATATGTAGTGGAATAAATAGGCGCATGGGGGGTAAATGGTGAGATCGCGTGGGGGCAGGGCAGTATGGGTCATATTGGGACAAACAGGTGCGATGGTTGGGCCAATGAGGCAATGATTAGGCCAATTAAGTTAGGGAGCCAGAGACGGCTGTAATTGGCTGGTGTTGTTGTCAGGGCTGAAGTGTGATTGGCTGGTGTTGTTGTCAGGGCTGGAGTGGCGTCTTAAAGTCTGGAGAAGTAACAGGTGCACGGACACGCGGAGCCTCCTTGGGACGCGGGTTAATTAATTGGAGAGTAATGAGAGCGGGGATAAATTGGGGAGACGCGAGGAGAAAGGGGAGTTGGATTCGGGGGCTGGGCGAAGCAGGACGTGGAGCAGAGCTAAAGTGAAGGCAGCCAGCAGTGGAGAGAGGAAAGCAGGAGCTGAAGTGGAAGCAGCCAGCAGTGGAGAGAGCACAGTGACATCGGAGTTGATGGAGAAGTGGAGATTGGAGAGACAAAGGCGGCGAGTGAAGCATAGCGAGCGAGCCGTGGCAACAAGGGAACTGTGAAGCATTGAGGACATGTGGAAAACTGTAAATAAAGTGGTGTTGGAAGAAAGACAAAAGTTGTCCGAGTGAAATCAACCACTACACATATATATTATCAGAGTTTTTTGTTTGCATTTTGACCACAAGTATTGTGGCTAATGCACACATGATTCCTTGTAAAAAGGTTTCAGTTTTGTTGCCAGAAAAAAGGGGAAAACCCCTTATTCTGGGGGGGGGGGATTAATGAGCGAACGTACATTATGCATGTGCATTATGCGAGCCCTTTGATCTTGTACTGCCTGTCAATTGTGTGTATTAAAATAGCTGTACCAACGGTAATCCCTATTGAAGTATGGTGTATTTAAACAATATATTATTTGATGATTCGCTTCCACGCAGCACTAAGTCGGTAGCTATCTGAACGGTAAAACAAATTTATTTCTTCCAATTTCGATAGATTCCCTAATTAGTTTTGGCCAGTAGTAGCTAGTTTTGCACAGAACTTCTACATTATCAAAATCAATGCGTGTTCTCATACTGCTGACAGTTGCATTTGGGAGACTATCTGATGTTCTTTTAGTCTCGTGCTGATCATTCGTCCTGTTTGCCCAACATAACATTTTCCACAAGTAAAGTTAATCCTGTACACACCTTCTGTTGATAGCTTTGGTAATACATCTTTCGTACCAGATATTAATTTCTGTATTTTATGTACCGTGCCAAATCTGACTGGAATGTTTTGTTTTGCCAAACATCTGGCTAGTTTATCAGTTACTCCTGCAATGTACGGTATTTTGATCGTTTTAATTACTTGGGCAGTTTCAATGCACGTGTTATTTGATTTGGATATGGCATTCAATGCCCTATTGATTTGTGCATCATTGTAACCGTTCATTGCAGCGCTTCTTTAACATGTTGAATTTCACTTCTCAGACGGTCACCATCTGATACTTTCTTAGCTTGATGAATGAGTGTCTTGATAAGAGCAGATTTCTGTGCGGGATGATGGTGTGACTGCATTCAGATAGGCGTCAGTGTCCGTTTTCTTTCGGTAAACCCTGTGTTATTTTACCATTTCGACCCCGTCCGAGCAGAATATCCAGAAATGGTAGAGTTCTGTAAGCTTCCACTTCCATGGTGAACTGGATGGATGGGTTTTGCGAGTTGAGATGATTAAGAAATTCGTTAAGTGTATCTTTGCGGTGTGGCCAAACCACCAATGTGTCATCCACATATCTAAACCAAGCAGAGAGGGTTTTAGTGTGCTTGAAGCTATTGCTTTTGTTTCAAAATCTTCCGTGGACAAATTCGCTATCACAGGTGACAAAGGAGATCCCATTGCTGTTCCTTCCTTTTGTTTATAGAAGCCACCTTGCCGCAAGAAATAGGTATTCTTTCAGACAGTGTTCAGCTAGTCTTGAGATATATTTGGCTAAACCTGTGTTCATTACCAGCGTTGAGTAATTTAATTGAACAGAGAAGTCACATACAAACTTACGAGAATATCATTAGGGTTAAGCTTCATATTTTTAATTATATTTACGAGATGTTCAGAGTGTTTGATGAACGAGGAGGTCCTACTACCGATGTAGGGCTGTATTTGTTTCGTTACGTATTGTGCTAATTTGTATTGTACTAACTATGGGCCTTAATGGGACACCAGGTTTGTGAATTTCTGGTAGCCCACAAAGTATTGGTGGTTTTGATGCCCTTGGAAATGACTTGGCAATGATTGCCATTGTTTACCTTCCTTCTGCATAGCACATACTATTAGGCATGAGCAAACTATTATGCATGCAGCATTACACATTTACAAATCTCACACGCATTATAATTTTCGCATGTAAAAAAAATGTTAATAATGCAACCGGTAAGGAATATTCAGCCTTAACCACACACACACACTGTAGAACCCATAAAAGTGCACGCAGAAATAAGTTTCAGTGAGCAGTAATACCCAATTTACATAATTGACTGCGAGGAGACACAATGGGAATGCCCAATTAGCATAATTGGCTTCATCGGAATACAATGGCAGGGGGATTATAATGGAACAGAATAATTATGCCGCACATCGAGCGCGAGGACTTCGCACTGGATGTCTCGACGCGTGCCAGGTGATTACGCCAGGGCTTTTCACGTCTCAGAAGCGGAAGATAAAATGAGGGCAGCCCTGCCTCTGAGTTTGCCATGGAGGGGGGGCACAAGCATAAATAGATGTTTCTTTCCTCAATTGCAAAATATGAGGCAACGTTTCGGCCAATGGCCCTTCTGCATGGCACAACACTCTTAGGTATGAGTAACGCTATTAGGCATGCACCATTAAACTTTCACAAATCTCACGTGGGTTACTATTTTTGCCTCTAACTGCATGAAAGAAACAAATGTTAATAATGCAACCTGTAAAGTATCTTTACCAACACCATAGATAACTTCGTCGAGTAACACCATAGATGTGTTGTTTTCCTAAATTTTAAGTTATATATTTTGCAAAAAAGAATTCTCCCCACATATATGCCAATCGTGCTATTAGCATTTTATCGTGAAAGAGACTCTTTGCTAAGAACATGATTGCCTCAACAAGACAATTGACTTACACCATGCCAAGCTTGACTCTCATTATAAGTGTTTTAAAGTAACGATAATTGCCACTGCTATTATGATCGGTGACATTTATTAAAACCTCCGCCTGTTAACCCAGCAGTGGAAATTAAATTATAAAACTAATTCCATACATTTTGA